TTAGGAGGACGTGGAACTCTTGGCTGATCTCAGCTTGGATGCGTATAGATTCTCCATTTCATGGCCAAGAATTTTGCCACGTATAGATTTTAACTTTCATTCTAATAAGTTCATAAATCATGAATTACAAGGACCATTTTTTTTAGTTTAAATGAAGGAATGTGACTTTTTTTTTAATTATTTTCTCTCTTGGGTTATTGTGTACAATATTTTTGTATGATAGGGTTGCAGTGTTATATTTTTATTTATGACTCACATTTATTTTAATAACTTATGAGATTTATTTTTGATAACTTAAGTTATTAATTTTCATAACTCATAACTTATGTCATAAATTATGACAACTTATGATATTTATTTTGATAACTTAAGTTATTTATTTTCTTAACTCATAACTTATGTCATAATTTATGATAACTTATGATATTTATTTTTGTAACTCTATAACCCCTAAAATAAATAAATGTTACTAACTTATGTCATTGATTTTATTAATAAAAATCAATTAATTTATTAAATTATCATAAATCCTATTGGTTAGTAACCCCCTTGATGGATGGTGGATAAATAGAGCATGAATTTGAGAATGGGTCCTCTCTCTACCCAACACACCTCGTACATTTCTCTCCATCAGAAAGTACAGAAAGTTTTAAGGGATTAGAGAGAGAAACTCCATCTCTTCAAGATCAAATTTGTTCATCATGAATACAGGTATGTGTCGCTTTATTTTTACATATGTAAAAATCATGAATTTAAAAGATCTTGGCTATTATGTACTTTTCTTTTGTAATTTGTGTATAAAGTTGAAACATGAATTTTCTAACAATCCGTAGGCCGCAGGAGCCGGAGTTAGGATTTTCATGAGTTATGGACCACATAGGCCTTAGTTGATCATATAGGCAGTAGTAGTGGGCTGTAAGGAGAGAGCTTTAGGAGCCAAAAATAAGTAACTATCTTTGGGGTCCATTGTTATACTGTCTTTTGGAGGCATCAATACGTGGTTCATTGTTACGTCGTCATAGATTTGTGTTGCATCCCCATATTCAGATGAATTGTTACACCGCCTTCGGGAGGCACGATCACATCATATGTGGGGTACGTTGTTACACCGTCAATGAGTGAATTGTTAGACTATCTTCAGGAGGTATCATTAAATCGTATTAAGTTGTTACACCATCATCATAATATGTCGTTGCACCATATTCAGGGTGCATTGTTACATGGTGTACTGGATGATGTATTGCTCAACTAGGTGTCAATGTTCAACAAAATATTCTAGGATTCTGCAATGCATGTTTTGACTCCACAAGCTACTTTGCTACAAGCAATAGGTGGTGGACGATGGAGATCGAGAGTGACCAACATGTGGTGGTGACAATAATCGATGATGATAGGAGCTCAGGAAGCCATCAAATTATCGGTGCATAAAAGATATTGAGCTTTTGCTCCTTTTCCAAGCTATGATCTTCTTTTGGCTCCAGAACTAGGTCCCCATTCAATTTCCTTAATGATATGAGAATTGAGTGAACTTTGGCTTGCTGGATTTGTCTTATCGAAATGTTCAATGTAACCATAAGCATGTTAGATTTGGAATTTGTTTGACTTTCAACTATGCATTGAAAATTTTTAAAAGCAGTTTAACGGCTTGATCTGGGCTTAATTTGACTCAGATTAGACCAATTTTAGTATAGTCCGGCCTATTTCATTGACCTGGAGAATTTGACTGTAAGTTCGCTGAAAACAGTGTTCTGTTTGATTTTTAATTAAAGTTAACATTTTTTCTTAAATTATTACTTTGATATACATGATATGGCTCGAGATTCATGTCGGATAAAAGATAACAAAATTTTTTTGATGACATATCAATAATATTAAACATATCGATGCTGTTAAATGAAAATATATAAAATGTTTTAATGTGACTACGAAATTAAACTGTTACATAAAATATTTATATAAATTTACCAAAGTAGAAGTTATAAACTTTTTTTTAGAAAATACTATATGGAAATATATTATCACGCTGCAAAAAAATTAATATAAAATTTCATGTTATTTGCTTTACTTAGAAGTTATACTAATTTCAAACTTATAACTTACTATTGGTTTTGTGATACTTCTTTGTTTAAATGTATTAAGAAAAGAATTAATTCCATAATTAGTAATTTTCTTTGGCATAATTGTATTGAAAAAAGGATGATCACTATCTTTTAGAATAATGTTACTTTACTTAAATTATTAGATGATATTGGCATTCCTTTGTTAGATAATATTAATTTTATTTGTAAAGCTAAGATCATTTAAAGACATTTTAATTTGAATTCCTTACTTGATAACCGGGGCTTGGATTATGATGGTTCTATTTGGATAAAACATAGATCCATGGCTTCCTCTTTTTGGAAAGACCACCTTATTTTTGCTTCAAGGATTAAAAGATGTCTTTCTTTTCTCTATGATCCTTGGATTATAGGTCTTTCATTATTTGAGGGTTTTGTTAATTTTCTTTTCACTTGGTTCAAATTCCTTAGTAATATCAAAGTTCAAGTTTTTTTTAATTAATGGTAATTGGATATTTTTTAAGCATTGAGATGTTCCTAATCAATGTTTACATCTTATTTATAACATTCATAATTTGGTTTTGCTTACTTGGAGAATTTTTATTGGTTGTCTTAAGACTTAGGACATATAAAATTTTTATTGGTTGTCTTAAAACTTAAGATATTCTTATGTCTGGAAGTATTAATGTTAATCTAATTTGTGTTCTGTCATAATTAGTTTGAGACTCAAAATCATTTATTTTTGAATTTTCATTCTCTCATAATTCGTTAAATATTTGCGTTCCTACGGGTGGTTACTTTTTTCTTGTTACCAATTTTTATCAAGTTTTTTATTATTTTGATAGTATCAATTATAAAATTTACAAAATATTTTTCTTGTTTGTTATTCAAGCTATTGCATATTGAATCTAAATTCAAAGGAAAAGAGAATTTCAAAAATTCGAAAACTCCTGTTATTGTTAGAAATATCATTGGCTTCTTTAAATAAAATGTAAAAAATAGTTTTTAAAAAATAGGGTTTGGGATTTTTATAATTTATAATACTTCTTTTTTATCTTCTTTGTTTTTTTTTGTGGAACTTTTGGTTCTTTGATTTTTGGTGTTTTTTTTTGCTTGTTTTAGTTGTTTTATTCCCTTTCTTGGTGTTTTTTTTTCTCTATTCTTTATGTTAATAGTTTTCTTTTCTGGTTGCTTTGGTTATTTTTTGATATTATTTTGATATTCTATTTACTACACTTGAGTTCCATTGAAAGTTTTTGGTTTACTCATTTATTCTGGTTGCTTCATTATACTTGGATAAAATTATTTTTAGCTATTTGATGAAGTCCAATTTATATTTGGTTATTTTGGTTCTTCATTGGATATTATTTTGACATTGAGTTTATTACGTTGGGGTCTTTGCTCTCTTAGGTTGTTTTTGGTTGAGCTATGAAGTACTCATTTTTCTCTTAGAGCTTTAACCAACCATTCTTTGGTATATCCTAGTTTACATATATATTCTGGTTGCTTCACCATACTTGTATAAATTTTTTTTTCATGCTTTTAATGAAGTCCTTCTTATATTTGAGTTCTGGTTATCCTCTCTTTTCATGTTTGGTTTTTTAAACAATTCGAAGTGGATTGACCTTTTTTTTGTTATAAGATCTTTGATATATTTTGTTATTTATAGGTTTATTTTTTGTGTGATTCCTCATTCCAAGGTTTACTCAGCGAATCTGGATTGATTCTATTAGATTTAGGACTTGGGTTTGGTTGAGCTCCTAAGGTTTCTTTGGCTTTATTGTTTTGGTTATGTATTCCTATTGTTTGGAGCTTATCATTTTAGGTTGGCTTGTTAACTGATGATACTTGTTTATAAGGTCTCCTCTTGGTTGATATTTTGTGTTTTTCTGTGGTTTAAGATCTCATTAGAGCTCTTCTAGTTTCCTAGGCTTCATTTGGCTTTTGTGTGATTAAGATGTCACAAGGGGTTCCCAAGTTGTTGTTTTTTGCATTGTAATAGTTTTAATTAATATTGGACCCATAATTTTGTGCAGATTTTGATGCTAATCTAAGTTGACCCTGGTTGTTGTTTTTGTTGTTGTATGGATGCTTCAATTACTTTGTGTTATGTTGCTTTTGGACCTTATGATTTCTGATATGATGATGTGTTATTATTTGATTCAACTTTGTTGGTCTGCTTTAATATATTTCTTTGTGTTGATTGTTTTTCTTATTCTATTTTGTTTTTGTGTGGAGTTGTATTTTTTTTATTCTTGTTATCCTATATTCATTTTTCTTATACAATAAAGCAGGGCCTAACCTTAAATTTCTCATAAAAAAATAAAAAAAAAATAAAATGTACACTAATTTTGTAAAAAAAAAGTTAATCCATCACTATAATGTTTTAAAAAAGAGGTATTCACATATATACCATACAATTGTTGTCTATTTACACATCTAACAACTAAATTTTTACTTTTTACATGCAAAAAACTCAATATTTTATTATTACATCAAGAATATCATTATTTATTAATTTTTTTTAAATACATCTTCTTATTCATAGATACTTATAACACCAAAGTATTATATATCTAAATAAAAAATTTTAACTAAAATATTATATTTTTTTGTGAAGATTTGTATAATAGCCCAAATGTTTTCTTAAAATCCTGCCATTAAGGGCCCGTTTGGGGCAGCTTGTGCGTTTCAGGATAAGCGGCCTACGTTTAGTGTAAAAACCAAAACGCAGTTTCAGATAAGCTGGCGAAACTTATAAGCTGCCCCAAATAGAGCGTAACTTAGAATTAGCTACAAGTGTCAAAAACTAGCATGGAATACTGTCTTCCTTATTTGCAATTTTTTTATTAAAAACACAAAATTACAAGACATATTTTCTCAGGTTCCAAAGTACCTATTAAAATGAGGTAACCTGAGTAAATTTTGTTGACTTTATCCTAACATAAATATTAAATACATAAGAAATTAATATATATATTTTATTCATGTCAAAATAAATCTAACTTCCACACTCTTATCAATCAACTTATCCTGCGCAAGCCTCCATTCCTAGCGCTCATCCTCCTGTATCTCCAGCAACGCAGGGCTTTGCAGGCTTTGCGCCTTAAGCTGCTCGTAAAACCTCCTGATAAACTCCTCCGCCTGCCTGTCCACCTCATCGCTCTCTCCATCCTCCATCGAAAAATTGGAAACCCTAACAGAATAAGGCGATAGCAGAACCGTTCTCTTCCTCTCTCCATTACAACGAGCTCCATTAGGCGTACTGTAAGAGCATTGCGGCGAGCCTTCAATCCTCAGCTGATCCTCCGCCGCGCTTATACAAGGGAAGTAACTGCGCATCCGCTTCGTGTTTGCGTGGAAGAAGACAGGCTCCGGGGTGTTTTCGCATGAGAATTCGTACTCCTGATGCAAGCCATGAATGATGGGCGAAACCGGAGAAAGCTGCCTGTTTTTGGAGTGGTGGTGGATGGCGATAAGGTTTCCGAGATTCTTTCCAAGGAGTTTTCCTCTCTTCATTATGAGATTCATTTCCATGCTGATGAACTTTCTCTTGGAAAGGAGGCCGTTCCTCATCATGAAGAAAGCCAGCCTTAAGAAATTCCATAGCTGCTTAGCTTTAGCTGAGGAGTGTAGTTCCATGATAGAATTAAAAAAAAGGTCGTGGAGACGAAAAGGGAAAGAAAGGCGATGAGAGAAACTGGGTGAGGAGGGTTTGGGGTTTATTTATGATGGATGGATGGATGGATGGATGGATGCATTATTGAGGAGGAAAACGTGGAGGAGGAGGGGAGAGGAAGCAGCTTAGCGACGAAGGAAAAGTGAAGGTTGGTGGACGCCACTCTTCGCTTTTTTGCGTTTTTCAAAGCCGGAAGTGGTTTTTTTGGTTTAACAAATGACAAAGATGTGGAACGTAGAATTGCTAGAGGTTTTGTTGTGGGGGTAAATGAATGAGTTTGTATTAAATTGTTGGGTAATTTACATACAACATACCACCCAATTCCTATGTATTTACATTTCTAAATTGAACAAACATGGTTGAAATTTTAATTAAAATGAAAGCACTCTTGGTTTTGACGTACAAGTTATGTTTGTTCAATTATCACATAAAAATATTAAAAAAAAAGTATATTTGATCTTCTCTTTTTTTTTTTTTTTTTTGAGTGTGTTCTCTCGGGTGCTGTGTTTGGGGGCAGCCTATCCGCTGCAGCGGCGTTTCGAAAACGCTGCTGCCCGTTTAAAAGACACTTTCTGGCCGCATCTGTGAAAACGGTGGTTTCATTTTTACGTTAAACATGGACCGCGGGTTGAATCCTGTGGTCCTCGTTTCATTAAATTTTTGACTGGGTTGCCTTCGTCAAGTACCGTCTGCGCTAACTCGCTCTTCGCTCCCTCTCGTTCGTCTCTCTCGACGCACTCTTTCTCTCGTGCGCTTCTCTCTCTCTCTCTCTCTCTCTCTCTCGCACTTCGATGTTCTCTTCCTACTCTGCCGTTAGACCCCCAACCTTCGCTAATCTGTAAGTACATTTCCTAACTGCCGATGGGGAATGGTTTGTGTTGTGTGATATTATGCTCTATGGCTTGTATTCTCTATTTACGCTCTTACAGATCAGGTGACTGACGATGGATCTAGTTTAGGGTTTGCAATATAGATTAGGCGACTTTTTGAATTATTTACATTTTGATTTCTTATATGATCTTATTCAATGAATGACCTTGAAGTCCATCCCTTATTGTCTGTTTGGGGCATTTATGATTTGTTAATTGAGCCTACCTTTTTGATTTGAGGGTGCTAGATGGATTCAGTCATGGTAAATTGTTACTTGTTTGGGGCATTTTTTATTTGCATGATTACTGTTCCTGGTTAGTGTTGGTGTTTGTTGGATGGTTTGATCCTCAATCACAATTTTATAATGAAGTACAATCCATTGATATTTTGTTGAAGGTTTTATCGTATGAGGATGCTTGGAATGTTTCGGAACTATCTAGGATTAATACATTAAAATGAGCTTTTGGAAATGGTAACTTGGTCAACACCAATAAGCATGAAGTTCCTTAGTGTTGTTGCTTACATTGCATCTATGGGTATTGATAAAAATAAAGGTGATGCTCTCAGGTTTAAACAAAAGACTTCTCTGTTGTTAATTGTGGAACTAACTTATCGATTTCTCTGTTGAAACCATCTCAATCCTCTTTTTCTTAGCGATTAAACTCTAAGTTACTTCCTCTTGATGATACTCTTAAGCTTAAAGGGCTACACAATGTTTATATTTATTTATTTTTTTGAAATGAGAAGGAATCCTTACACCATCTATTTTTCAATTGTGCATTTTCTTTGGATATCTGGGGGTTGCTATCTCTCTTATTTTAAAAACCATAAGCATATGTGGGGGTACAAAATTTGAATCATTGCCTTTTTCTTTCGAGGAGAGGTAATTTTTTGCAAAATGTTATCCATTATACTATTTGTTTGTTTCTTTGGATTGAAAGAAATCAAAGAAAACATTATGTGGTGTGGAGAAATGCAGAAGGAATCCTTACTATTATCAAATCCTTTATTTCTAAAGTGGTTGATTACACTTTCTCTCACAAGTTTCTTCATGATATGGGGTGATACGCTTAAAATATATAGTATTTTTAAACACATTTTTATACTTATTTTTGAGATATTGATACTTATTTTTGAGATACTTATTTTTGAGATATTGTGCTTTAATGGATGATATTTTTCTGTTTTTCTTTCAGGTATAGGTAAAAAGGTGAAAAATGCTTAAAGGAGTGAAAAATGATCAAATTTGGAGTAAATATATGAAAAACATGCAAAAGTATTTTGGAGCCTAAGCGCTAGAGGCCCCATGCTTAAGCTCCAGTGGCTATTATTGGATGAGTAAATTTGCTTTTTGTAAATTTTGAAGAGGTTTTTTGAGGCACCTATTGCCTTAATAGGTGGTTACAACTACCATGGACGAAAATTATTGTGAAAGGATGCATCTCTTGGGGAAATACATCGAGTTAAGACACATTTTGAAGAGATGACAATGCACCTTTTGGAGAATTACAAAAAAAAGGAATATTGAGACTTTGAAAAGGGTCCTGAAAGTACTAAAATGATTGAGGGAAACTCAATTAGCCGCCACCACCCCTCTCTCATAGATTAATTAGGATACTTTGAGAGAGAAGAAAGGGAGGATTTGTAGTGTGTTAGCAGAGAGTATTGTAAGAGAAAGGAAGAGAAGAGATTCAAAGGAACTTCAAGAGTTTGGTGGAGAGGAATTTGAGATAAGTTTTTATCTTTGTGACTATATTTGGCTTTAAGTTAGACTTCTTGTGTGTTTACATGATTTGTACTTTTAAACCTAAGTGTTGTTGTGCTTTTTCATAAATTTTGAGTAGTTTTCTTTATCTTTATCATTAAAATGATAAGCCATTAAGTGTTGGATGGAAGTTGTGGAGAGTATTGACCTTTAATGTTGGAAGAAGTTGTGATGATTTAAATCCATGTACTTCATTTACTTCTTGATTTGGCCAATCCAGATGTTAAAATTTGTTGTGAGAACATGTAAGAACCGGGCTGGTTTTTTTCAGTCAACAATTGGAAAGAATCACATGAGGTTGTATGAATGAGAATGTAGTTGAAATGATTGAGTGCAAATAAATAGAGAATATTCATTGAACGGTGTAGGGTTAGAGGACTTTAAAGTGACAGGTTAAAGCCCCAACTTGGTTTATTGTTTTAGGTTCTGATACGAGATGCCAGCCCCCAGGTGGAGGGAATCGAAGGAACTCTAGAGTTACAACTAGTATCTTCGCTACCTAGCCGGTCTTTAGAACTATTCAAACTATAAATTAGTTAATGTTTTTTATAGCATTTATAGCATCTCTAGTATCTAGTATGGGTAAATAATATTATTGTTCCTATTTGACACAACACAATATGCATACTTCCACAACAAAATTTCTATACTTATTACCGATTCATGATAAGGAGAAAGATATTTTCATATTTAGTGTTTTTCTTCTACAAAAACTCAAGTTATCTTTTTATGTTTATTCTATTTTTGTCAAAATATTAATATCACCAAAAATATTTAAACTTTCTTTACTGCAAAAATGTCTTTAGTTTAAATAATTGTCTTTTTAAAAATAGAAAGTTTTCTAAAAAGTGCGCATTGTATATCTTCCTTGTGGGTTCGATATTCAGGTCTTAATCAAAAAGTTTTATATTACTTGATAACGATACGTATACTTGCGTAGTATCTCAATATATATAAATTAAAAGTTAAATTCTTATTTTTCTTCAGGATCAAGCTTTTGGTTTTATTGTGAAATAAGGAAATATAAGTGAAAAATATAATCAGAATTATTATTATACTATTGCATATAAGTAGTTTCGGGATCATGGGGTTGCTGAAATATATAAATATTTTACAATGAGTTTATTAGTTACAAGAGAAAATTAAGAAAAGAAATCAAAACCAAAATTTTGGTTGACATACTTGCTTGAGTGTTTTATGGATGTAGTTTATTAGTTGATGTTAATTTTTTTTGACTTGAAAGAAATATTTTGTTAGCAACGCAATAAGTATGAGTAAAGAGATCAGATCATCGTCCATTTCGGATAGGGAGGTCACTATTATATTTTGCGATCTCTATCTAAAAGAAATCAAGTTGGAGAATAGACTCATCACCTATTCTAACAAAGAAGGGTGGCAAAATCTCATGACAAAGTTCAAGTAAATGATAGGAAGGGATTACAATATGATGAATATTAAGAACAAGTGAGATCAAATAAAGAATGATTGAAAATTATGAAAGGAACTAAAAAGGGGATCCAAAGGATTGGGTTGGAATTTAGTGAAGCGGACAATAAATGCTTAAGAGGCTTGGTGGACTGAGAAATTACAGGTAATGACCTATCCAATGAGTACTTATGATCTCACTCTATATACTATTGCCGATAGTGATCGGGGTTCGACGGTATCCATGGAAGACCATGTATCTCGTGACATACTCCGTCTTGATTACAAAATTAATATTATCATAATTTTAATTGTAATTTTAATAATTTTTTTTTCATTTCTTTTCAATCTTGATACTCACTGATAAGTAGGGACTATTTCATTTTTTTTGTATTATTTTGTATTAGTTTTCTGCTTTTGCAGTATCAAATATATTGTTAAGACAATTCTATTACTAACAACATTATCTAACAGGGGTAGAATGATCATTTTTTCACACAACTGCAAATAAGCTGTTTTGAAACAGTTGCCCCAAACAAATCGTCAGCTTATCCGGATAAGCTGCTGATCAGCAACTTATCGGGATTGGCTGCATATCTGAATAAGCTGTATAAGCTGCAGCTGCTCCAAACAGACCCTAACTACAACCATTCAAAGCTCGAGTGATCAGCTTACCATAAAGTTTCAATATGATCCCATCACTTATACTATCTCTTCAAGGTGTAGTATTGATGTGTATTTCTCCAACTCCTAAGCGATTAACATGAAAAAAACTAATAAAAAATTTTCAAGCAACCTGAAAAATAAATGAGAAAGAAAATCATGAGAAAAATAAATAGTCAAAGAAATAAATTAAAAAATGTGTGCCACTTCGGCGTGCACGCACCCATAATACAAGCGATTGAGCCGACTTTTAAATTTTCTTTTGGAATATCAAAATATTAATATATATTAATAAAATATTTAT